TGACTCCGTAAAAACCTCTGGTCCCAGCTCCTTGATGAACCCGTTTGGACCTCTCAGGGTGGCTCGGTGTAAGGGTTGTCTCAGAGCTCTGACTTCCTCCCTCTTTGCTAGCAATACTGCAGGGATCTCCCTCCGGCAATCTGTTTCCAAAACAAACGAGAAAGGGAGGGGGAAAATGAGGCTGATGTCTATCAGCTACCTGACTCCGTAAAAACCTCTGGTCCCAGCTCCTTGATGAACCCGTTTGGACCTCTCAGGGTGGCTCGGTGTAAGGGTTGTCTCAGAGCTCTGACTTCCTCCCTCTTTGCTAGCAATACTGCAGGGATCTCCCTCCGGCACCTGATTATAGTTTGTCATGGAATTAAGTTTCATTGGATGGATGCCTGCAGCTCTGTCCTCCACCCCATGGCACCACTTAGGGCAAATGTGTCCACCAGGGGTTTTTTCTTGTGGCTCCAGCCTCCTGGGCTGGGCTGGAGAGGAAGTGGCCTCTCCCAGTTGCTCCTGGATGTATTGCTTTGGTGTTAGATGTAACCTAGGTCAACCTAACGTTTTAGTGTGGAGCAGGCCCAGTTTGAGCATGAATTACAGTGGTTTACATTACATGTAGCTGCATGAGGGGTTTCCCCAGGTTACCTACCAATTGGTTAGTTATACTGGTGCAAAAAGCCCATGCCTAGGCCATCCCTAAGGCTGCATCTTGGAAATGGGGTGTTGAGAACAATAGGCATTTCCCAGGGCTTCCCCCATTTTAAAACTGTCCCCCATCCTCCCCAGCCCCTGCTGGATAATGGGGAGCAAGAAGATAATGGTGGGTGGAAAGCAGGTGGGTACTGTGAGCTTGCAAACCTACCATAAGCCAAGGGCAAGAAGGCTTTTTTTCTTGCTTCTACTCTGTTTATAATGTCCACGTTAGAAAGGTTGCTCTGATTAAACTCTGTTGGTTTCTAAACCAATAAGATGACAGCAATACAAAAACCCCACAGAGACCAGTCCTAAGTATTATCCCTCAACACAAAGAGGGAGAGTGTGGCTGCTCCCCCCCAAAACATGATAGGGCAATTTGATCCCTTGCATCACTCTGGAATTTCTCTCACTACATGAGTTTCCATGGGGTAAATGCCTGAGAGCTGCCAAGGGCAGGGGAGGGAAAGAACATGGGACAATCATCTCATGGGGTCCGTCCAAACTCTTTTGGGACAATTTCCGCAAGACTTCACAGGTGCAAGGTGGGAGTCCATGGACCAAGTAGGCAACTCTAAAGCTTCATTGTGTAGAAATATTCGCTTAGGCACAGAACTCTTCAGTATTTGTTTTTAATATTAGTCTCTGCCTTTTCCCCAGAACTGTTCACTTAAAAACAAATTGAATGGCTAAAATAAAAAAAAAACACAATGTTATAAATATGCTGCTATTGATTGTTTACCTACCAGGACTTTTTTTTTTCTTTCCTTTCCTTATTTAAAATAAAGACATTTCCAAAACACTCTCATTTTACACTATTTTTTTCTCTGTTATTTCTCCTTTCATCTAGTTTAAAACAAAACACAGCAAAACCCAGATATTTTCCTTTTAAGAGGTAGAAATTAATGGTTCACCCAGTCTGGCATCCTGCCTCTGGCAGTGGCTAATTCCAGATGAGTAAGAAAAAGGTGACAAATTTTCATCAGACCTATGGTTAAGGAAGGTCCCAACATGCAAAGGGACATCAGTCTGATTGGGTGAGCAAAGAAATCTGTGCTGGCAGAACTGGGGCCTAAGTATCCCAGCAACAGCCACCAGCCTGGCCACCACACGGCCACAGCCCTGACCCCCGGTGGCAGCAACCCGCCCGCCTGCAGCTCTGATGGCGTAGCAACCCACCCAGCCATGGCCCCAACCCCGGAGGCAGCAAACCATCGACCCACAGAGCTCTAACCCCAGCGCAGCAACACACCTGTGGTTCTGATCCCTAGAGCAGCAACCCACCCACCTTGTGGCCTTGGCTCTGGCAGCAGCCACCCTCCCATTCAGCCCAGGGCCTACCCTGCCACGGGGGCCCCGGGTCTGGG